CTGGTTCTAGTGTGACTATGAAAGAGATTAACTCAACTATTCTAGGCCATACAAATAATACTTGGTGGAAAAGAGGTCAGAGTCTCAGATGTCTGGGCTCTGAGCCTTGGCCCTGTTTAGAAAACTCTAAATTCAATTTTGATTCTGAAGTTCTAAGGCCCACCTTAGTTTTGAATGTGTATGGTGTTGTTTTAGTGGCATAGGCCTAGGGTCACAATCTTGGGATGGGTGTCTGGTAGAAGACTTCTCTCAGCAGTAAGGTGCTAAGTAACATTACTCTTGGCTCTATCTAACATTTAGACATATTCACCATGGATTTTGCTGTTGTTTTGTGACAAGGTTTCACTATGTTGCCCAGGCTGGCCTAGAACTTGGGATCCTCCTGCCTCAGCCTCCCTAATGTTGGAATTACAGGTGTGTGTCACCATGCCCAGTTTAGGAAAGTTATTTTAAAACATACATAAATACTTTCAACATTAAAAAAAATGGATATATAGAACTTGTTTGGCATTTGGTTTGTTTTTTTAAAGTGTTTTATTTTTATTTGTGTGTGTGTGTGTGTGTGTGTGTGTGTGCGTGTGTGCGCGCGCGCGCACGCTTGAGACAGCAGAAGAAATATAAGCTCCCTTGGAGCTGGAGTTACAGGCAGTTGTGAGCTGCCCAATGTGGATGCTGGGACCTGAACTTGGTTCCTCTGGAAGAGCAGTCAGGGTCTCCCTGTAGCCCCAGCTGGCCTTGATCTTACAGAGATCAACTAGCCTCTTCAACTTGGGTGCTATGATTAAAGGTGTGTGCTGCTGTGCCCAGCCTGGTTTGATTTTTTTGAGACAGGGTCTTACAGGTCTGCATAGAAGACTGTCTCAAAAAAACAAAACATAACAAAACAAATTAAAAAAAAACCCCAAAACAAACAAAAACCCAAAACCAGACAACAATAAAGCTTTTTTTTTCTATAGCTAGCTTTTAACTGCTAAGTACTAGCTATGCCAGGTAAAAGAGATTCTGTGTCAGTTGTAAACACACTTCCTCTGAAAGTTCTAGTAATTTGTACCTGTGTCCCAGCTAATATGTTAGCCTTGATATCATGATGATTATATCCAGGTAAAGAAATATTATCATTGATAATATTGATTTCCCTGTATTTAAGAATTGATTTGTGCTGGGCTTGGTGGTGCATGCCTTTAATCCCAGCACTCAGGAGGCAGAAGCAAGCAGATCTCTGTGAGTTCAAGGCCAGCCTGTTCTACATAGTGAGTTCCAGGCCAGCTGGGGCTACAGAGAGACCCTGTCTCAAAAAGACCAAAAAAAAAAAAAAAATTGATTTGTATGAGCTGCACTGATTCGTTCCTTAAAGCAAAGAATATTTGCTTAGGAGTGGTGAATGGCTCATAGGATAAACACATGTGTAAGCAAGCATCTGCTTGGTCAACATAGCTGTGAATTTTTGTGTCTGGGTGGTGGGCCTGGGCAAATTCTTAATGAAATCTCTCAAAGAAAATACCTTCCCTTGAGCCCCAAAGTCAGCCAATGCTGCAGAAATGTATTGGTGAGGTTATCTGTGCTTCCCTCCGACTTTCCACCTGTCCCCATCTCTGCGCAAATAACAGGCCCCACCAGTAGGTGACTTACCTGCCAGGGCCAGCTGTTGGGTGTGGCATTTTCACCTCCTACCACCCTGCTCGCATCAGGATCCAAAGCGGGGATCCCGCAGATGAGAGCTGGGAAAAGAGAGAAAAGTTATGTGTCGGAGACAGCGACCTATGTAAAGGCAAAACCCAAACCCAGATAGGAGGCCCTTGCTCTGGGAGAGACCCAAGGTCTTAGAGGCCTGCCCTTTGCTCCACTTGCTAGGCTGTCTTTAAACTTCCTAGGTAGCCCAGGCTGGGCTTGAATTTATGATCCTCCTGTCTCAGCCTCCTGAGGACTAGGATCACAGGAGTGTGCCACCAAACCCTGCACCGCTTCTTTGAAAGGCAATTCCTGCCTCCTTATAACTAAGCGACTGAATGCGATGGGAGAGGGGACGGCAGCGCCACATTTCCAGCCTCACCAGTGAATGGAAAAGTCCCGCCTCTGGGTGAGAGAGCTTACCTCCGGCCAACACAGACAGCAACAGAGTTCTGATCATGGTGTGTCCGTGGACAACTGTAGGTTGGGCTCTGGCTGAGCCCTAGTTTTATGAGTGGGGCTTATCGGCAGGGGAAGCAGAAGTGTGCAAGATGGAGATTTTCCCAAAGCCCAGTGGACTAAAGGGCTGGTGTCCAAATATTTTGTTTTCCATTTTCTCCCACGGGCCATATTGGAAATACATTGAGAAACGTGCCAAAGCCAGATACTGAAAAATGGATTCTGCTGGGTAGGGTGGCACACACTTGTGATTCTACTACTAGGGAGGTGGAGGCAGGGGGATCAGGAGTTCAAGATCATCCTTGACTACACAGAGTGTTTGAGGCCAGTCTGGGCTATGCAAGACCCTGTCTCACTCCCTGCTCTCCCCACAAAGAAAGAAATATAGATTCTATGTACTTTCAAATGATTATGCTGTATGTTAGGGGATGGAGAACAATATTGCTAGCTGGACCTTGGAGTTGTGTTTTCAGAAGAAAAGAGGAAGCCAGTTTGTTGTTGAGTGAACAGCATTTGAGGCCAGTGGCTCTCCATGGGGCCGACTAGGCTGCCAGGGAACATTTGACAGTGTCTGTTGTGGCTCGGGGTTGGGTGCTACTGGCATCTGGTAGAAGAGAGGCTGCCTTTAGGGCACAGGACATCAAAGGGATTCTGAACAAGCAAGGATGCTGGACTGAGAATTCTGCCACAGACCAGGTGGTGACTGGCTATGTGACCTTGGGTGTGCCCTGTGGGTCTCCAGGCCTAGAGCTGCCTCTTGGTGGGACAAGAAGAGCAAACCTTTGCTATCAGTGTTCTGGGAAGGTTTTCAAAGCATAAAGAACATGCTTTCTTAGAAGAGGGCCAGGGGGCTGGACAGTTGGCTCAGCGGTTAAGAGCACTGACTGCTCTTGTAGAGGACCTGGGTTCGATTCCCAGCACCCACATGGTGCTTACGAACCGTCGTTAACTCCAGTTCCAGGGGAATCTGAAACCCTCTTCTGACCTCTGAGGCATTGCACGACACGGGTGCACTCACTTACATGCAGGCAATACACTCATACACATAAAATAAAAATAATAAATAACATAGTTTTAAAAAATTAAAAAAAAAAAGGGCCAGATGGATCTACCCAAGAGGACCCAGTGCTGAGTAAAGGAGAATGGGTCAGAGGAGGGCTTTATGGGGATGGATCGGATGATTTCGCTGAATAATTAATTAGCTAGTTAATTAGGTAATTGTGTTGTGTATGTGCGTGTGTGTGTGTGTGTGTGTGTGTGTGTGTGTGTGTGTGGGTCTCAGGACAACCTGACATGTGCGTCCACACCTGAAAAGGCCAAAGAGGAACATCAGGTGTTTTCCTCTATTGTTCTCAGCCTTATTTTTTGAGACACGGTCTCTCACTGAACCTGAAGCTTGAAGGTTAGGCTAGGCTGGCTGGCCAGCAAGCTCCCAGCACCTGCCTCTCTCCGAACCTTCCAGTATTGGGGTTTCAGGCATGCCTGGCTGTGCCTGGCTTTTACGTGAGTGTTAGGGATTTGAGCACAACACGTGCTCTTACCACTGAGCCATCTCCCCACCTCCTACTTTACTTATGATTTTATTGGGGTAGAGGTTTTAGACAAGATTTCACTCCTTCGTCCACACTGTCCTAGAATTCACTATGTAGCCCAGGCTGCTTCTAACTCAAAGAAGTCCTCCTGCCTCAGTCTCCCATGTGCTGGGAACACAGACGTGTGCCACCCCACACAATAATCAGATGTATTTTATTGTCTGCTTTCAAGACAATAGCAGTTTGGATTTTCTCCGTCTTCCAAGGGGGGCTAAAGGAAGACCGTATTAGGAAGGGCTCAAAGAGGCAGGAAGTGGCCCTCAAATGCCTTTACATTTCTTATGTAATTTAAGCCTTAGGCAACCTGCAAGTAAGTTCATTATTTCAGACAAGAAGCTGAAGTTTAGAGAGGTAAAGTGAGTTGCCCAGGATCATACAGCTTCTGAGTGACAGAATGAAGATCCTATCCTCTGATGGTCTGATTCCAAAGCCAGTCCCTAGCACTTCACAACCCCCTCTGCTGGTGGGGGTGGGTACATGATAGCCTTTCTCCCTCTCCTCAGGCCATCACTTTCCCTGTTGTCTGTAGAGCAGAGCCAGGCAGGCCAGGAGCAGTGGAACAGTCCTGCTCTGGGTCACAGACTCTCACAGACTCGACTTTTTCCCCAGCCTGAAAAGCAGAAGGGAAAGTGGATTTTAATTATTTTATTTTATTTATTTTATTTTTTATTTTTACTTTATGTGTATGCGTGTATTTCCTGAACGTAGGTAAGTGCACCCATGTCGTGCAATGCCCGTGGAGGTCAGAAGAGGCTGTTGGATCCCCTTTGCCCCTTTGACTGGAGTTACAGACAGTTGTTAGCTGCCATGTGGGTGCTGGGAATTGAACCTGGGTCCTCTTTAAGAGCAGCCAGTGCTCTGAACTACTGAGCCATCTCTCTAGCCCTTATTATTATTATTATTTTTTTAAAGAGATTTACTTTCATTTAAGAATTGTGTATACGTATCTAGGTGTCTGTGTGGGGGTATGTGCATGAAGTCAGGAGGAGATGGATCCCCTGGAGCTAGAGTTACAGATGGTTGTGAGCCAACTGACGTGGGTGCTGAGAACCAAACTTGAGTCCTTTGCAAGAGCAGCAAACACTCTTAACCTCTGAGCCATCTCTCCAGACTCTGGACTTCAATGCTTAAGACATGAACTCAAGTCCTTGCAAGTGAGTTCTGACACTGGTTTAGACAAGTTACCAGTCTTTTGGGCCTTAGTTTCCTAGATAAGAGTTCAGACCCACACCAGACATGATGGTTCCTGCCGCTAATCCCAGCATTTGGGAAGTAGAAGCAGAAGGATCAGGAATTCAACACCAGCCTGAGCTGCATGAGACCCTGTTTCAAACAAACAAACAAACAAACAAACAAACAAACAAGATAAGAATAAAAATAAAAGGGCTGGAGATGTAGCTTAGTTGTAAAGTGCTTGCTTGGCATGTAGCTCTGGGTTGGATCCCCAGCATTGCATAAAATTGGGTGTGGTAGGACAGGCCTGTAATCCTAGTACTTGGGAGGTAGAGGCAGGCTAATCAGATGTTTAAGATCATCTTCAGCTATGTAGCAAGTTCAAGGCCAGGCTGGGCTATGTGAAACCCTGTCTTAAAATAACGGAGGAGGAGGGGAAGCATCATCATTATCATCAAGGCCCAGTTGCAGGGCTACTGTATCCATACGAAACTGAGGGTGAATGAACCTTGGGGTACCCCAAGAGTCCTGCAAAGTTAAAGGTGCCAGGGTGCATAAGCCTATTGGATTGGAAGTCATGGGACCCAAGCTCCATTCCAGCTCTACTCTTAGTGCCCTGTCACATGTTGAACTATTGTTTATAACCACAGAGGTCAGGAAAGCGGCCATTTCGGAAGTATCAACTTTTTCTTAAAGGTCAAGGTGAGTTTGATATTATTCTCCAGGTGTTTGCTTTAATATCAAAATAGTTTTCCTGAGATGGGGCCACTGAACAAACAGCAGTTTGGCACATGTGTGAGCATGCTGTGTGACCTTGGGCAAACCAGGCAGACTCTCTGGGTGAGGACTTCCCAGCTACAAAATGGAAAGAAACATACACGCAGTTCCCTAGCCCCTGGGATTAAATCTAGGGCTCTGAGCACTCAAGGCAGGAACCCTAGCTCTGGGCTCTATCTCCAGCCCCCTATCCAGTATACTTTACCATCTTTGCTACAGAGCCTAGAAAGGGACACAAAACTTCACCCAAAGAAACTTAAGTAAAAAAGATTCACTGAGTCACAAAATGAAAAAGTCTTGAAGCAGAGCTGGCTTTAGGGGTGGCTGGATTTAGTGTTCTGAAGCCCAGGACTCAACTTCTCTGTCTTTTGGTTCTGCCTTCCATAGTCAGTTTCACTCTTATAGTCCATGGAGAATTCTGGGGCAGCTCCTGGTTCTGTCTTTTTGGGGGTCAAGACCACTGCAGGAATCTCTGGCTCAGGGTTTCTCTATTGTGGCAATATTGGTATCGTAGGCTGGGTGGCTCCCCACCCTCCTCTACTGGAGATTGAAGCCAGGGCCTTCCAGACCCTTCAAGACATGCTGCAAGGTCTCTACCACTGAGCCAGATTCCCAGCCATCTTTTTACTTTATATTTTGAAACAGAGTCTTGCTAAGTTGCCCAGGCTGGGCTTGAATGTTGAAGCCTGGACAGGTCTTCACCTTGCAGTCCTCTAGCCTTGGCCTCCCAGTAGTTGGGATTTCAGACCAGTACCACCAAAATTACATGGCTGATTCCCTTCCTTCCTTCCTTCCTTCCTTCCTTCCTTCCTTCCTTCCTTCCTTCCTTCCTTCCTTCCTTCCTTCCTTCCTTCCTTCCTTCCTCCCTCCCTCCCTCCCTTCCTTCCCCTCTTTTTTAAAAATTAAATTTAATGTTATTTATTATTTTTATTTTCTGTGTATGAGTGTATTGCCCGTATGTATGCATGTGCACCCCAAGTCCTGCAATGCCCATGGAGGCCAGAAGAGGGTATCAGATTCTCCTAGAACTGGAGTTACTGACAGTTGTTGGTCGCCATGTGGGTTTTGGGAAACAAACCCAGGTCCTTGGCAGGAGCAGCCAGTGCTCTTAACTGCTGAGCCATCTCTCTAGCCCCCCTCCTTTCTTTTTTTTGAGGCTGGATCTCATGTACTCAGGCTAACTCAATGTAGCCAAGGATGGTCTTGAACTTCTGAGCTGCTTACCTCCAGAGGGCTGGAATTATACATGTGAGCCTCCCACAACTGGTTTATTCAGTAGTGGGGATCAAAACCAGGATTTCCATGCATGCAGGAAAGCATTAGACAAACTGAGCTATATGCCCTCCCCACCACCTGTGTTTTTAGAAAAAAATTATTATTTTTATTTTATGTGTATGCATGTATTGCCTGCATGTAGATAAGTGCACCCGTGTTGTGCAATGCCCGAGGAGGACAGAAGAGGCTGTTGGATCCC